GGTGTGTCTGTGTGTGTGATTTCTGTCCGGCCATTGCACGTGTCCTAGGCCAGGGGAAACAAAACAAAACAAAAACCTTACAAAACACACACACACACACACACACACACAAACAACCCGGAAGTCTTGAAGCCAAAACTCTCCTTTATGGTCTCATTCTTTCTCTCTAGTCACTAACCTAGAACCACACGTTCATGCAGCCTGACATGGCAGCGCGGTTCTGATTATGGAGCCTGTACTGCTCAAAGGTACCTGCCCTCCTTTCTACAAATGAAGCTAGGAGATCCATATGCAAAAAGAGCTGGACCCTACATGTATAGTCACCTCAGAATGGATCAGAGAACTAAATATGACCCAAAAATAGAAACTTCTAAGAGAGAATGTCTCTTCTTAAAGATTTATTTATTTCTATTTGTTATTATTTTTTAAATTTGGCCAGAGAGAGAAAGGTAAAGTGAGAAAGCAAGTCACCAGGTTTGGGACTCGAACCATGGTCCATCATGTGGGAATCCAGTGCCTTTAACCGGCAGGAGAGTCAAGTTGTACATATTACCAACAGCTGGGTCAGTATTTATAATTCATGTTGCCAAACCCAAGTTCACAAAGATATTTTGTCTTAGGGTCCGCAGGTGGCATGGTGGTTGGGAGGAGTGGTTCAAGTCCCGGACCTGGCGGCTTGCTTTCTCACTTACCCTCTTTCTATCTCTCTTACTCTGTCCCTCTCTAGTCAAATTTTAAAAATAAATAAGTAAAGGGACCAGCAGTTGGCGTAATGGCTATGTCGCTGGATTTCCATGCATTCAAATGTGGTTCAAGTCCAGGACCCGGTGGCTTAAACTCATGCCAGGGGGCATTTGCCTGCATACCCAAGATCCGGAGAGGAGAATGGAGGAGAAGGGATTGCAGCATGGTCATCCTCCCTGGGGAGGATGTTTTCTGTCTCTTTCTGTCTTTCTGGTGAGTGCATGAGCCCTATAGCAAAAACCTCTCCAAAAGAAAAAGAAAAAAAAAAAAAAAAGAAATGAGCAACTGTTGTTTTTTTAAATGTATTTTTAAAACAATTTGAAGGTAGATCAAAGATTATGAACATTTTTTACCAAAAAGGATATCTAAATGGCTCAGAAGCACATACAAAGAAGCTCAACACCATTAGGTACTAGAGAAATGCAAATTAAAACCATGAGATACCACTACACATTTACATAGGTGTATATTGCTTAATAATAGGGCTACATTCTGAGGAATATAGGCGATTTTGTCGTACAAATATCAGAGAGTGTACTTACACAGACCTAGATGGTATAACTTACCACACATTGCTATAGTTTGCACATGTCCCCTCAAAGTGTTGGAATTCAGTTATACTGTGAAGACAAAATTTAATGCAATATGGGATTATAAGGGACATTAATTATTTCTAGTAATTTTTAAGGTAAGGGTCCAGCAGATGGCATATGGTTACATTGCTGGACTCCCATGCAGTTGACTATGGTTCGAGTAGCGGAACCAGTGGCTTAAAACTCATGCTGGGCATGTGCACGTGTGTGCCCAAGATCTGGAGAGGAGAATGGAGAAGGAATTGCAGTATGCTCATCCCTTCTGGAGGGTGATTTCTCGGTTTCTGTCTCTGTCTTGTGCATGCACCTTATAGCAAAAAATAAATAAATAAGTAAATAAATAAGAGACCAGGACGGACACAGGACATGTGCACTTCTGCTGTGACCAAGTTCTTGTTCCTCGATACTTTGTGCACCTCAGAACTCTGCAGAAAACTGCCACATTATTTACCACCAACAAGGTCCTCATTAGGTGTGGTCCCCTGACCTTGGATCTCCAAAATCTCAAGCTAAATAAACTTCTATTGTTTATAAATTACGCAGATTCAGGTATTTGTTACTAGCAACACAATAAACAATACCTAGGACATAAGATATAGCCTATTATAATCATACAGAACCACTGTTGTTTATGTTCTGTCATTGACATTTCCTTATGCAGGGTAAGACTATACATGGAACAGCTACAGTGAAGTATAGATAACACAAAGCATTAGTGAGGATGTGGAAAACTGGGACCCTCATACATTGCTGGTGGGACTATAGAATGGTTCATTTTGGAAAATACTTTGGCAGTTTCCTTTTTTTTTTTAATGTACACTTTATAAACAATTAGGTAAGCTTGGAGTTAACCAACATACATAAATTACGAGATACAAGCATCTATCTAAATTTTCTATATTTTTTTACAGAATCTTTATTAAATTGTTTAATATACATTTTTCTCATTTGTCATTTTGGAAGTCCTTTATTGTAAAGACAATTCTTCTTTCGGATGAAAACAGCAGCCATAGTGATTACTCTGGACCACCACGTTGGATAAATTCAGTTTCTTCTTGAGATACCAGTTTCCTTCTGTATTTCCGAGGTAAAGTTTTTATTATTTTTGCCATGTCTGGTGGACCCTGACACATCAGCAAATCTGGTGATTTACTTCCCTTAGAATGCTGTGAAACTGCAGAAGAATGGGATGGCAGCCCCGCTGACCTCAAAGCTCCTGATACATTGGGTTTAGGATTGTCTCTTGTCAGGAATTATTAATGGTATATGTGGCTTCACTACCTCACGACCCTGCTGGCAGACACCATCTTGCTGTCCATCATGACCCTTAGCAGTTTCTTAAAAAGTTAATCAGGGGCCAGGCCAGACTGTGACCCAATGGTAAAACGCTATGCTCTTCAAGGGTGAAACACATGGGAAGGCTCCAGGTTCGTGACTAGAGACCTCCCTAACTAAACTGGGGTTTGTATCCATGATTTGGGGCTGCTTAAAACTGGGAAATCAACTATGGTGTCAGAATCTTCTTGGTGGCACAGTCATTCTATCTCACTCATGAAATAAATAAACTTTAAAAATGATAAGCATAGGGACCAGCAGATGGTATAATGGTTACATCATTGGACTCCCATGTAGTCAACCGCAGTTTGAGTCCCGGACCCAGTGGCTTAAAACTCAGGTCAGATGTGTGTGCGTGCATGCCAAAAATCCTGAGACTGGAGGAGAAGGGATTACAGTGTGGCAGAAGGGATTACAGTGTGGCCAACCCCCCTGGGGGCTGATTTCTCGCTCTCTGTCTCTCTTTCTCTGTCTCTCCAGCAAGTGTATACACCCTATAGCAAAAACGTTTAAATTTTTTAAAAATAAAAAATGGAAATAAAGTTAAGAATAAATTTAGTACTTGACCTAGGAATTCCACTCTAAAGAATCCTTAGAGACAATGAAAACATATGTCCACACTAAGACTTGTATACAAATACGCATGGCAGCTAAAATTTTCATAACAGCTAAAAAGTAGAAACAATCTGGGACCAGCGGGTGGCATGGTGGTTAAGGCGCTAGAGACTCCCACATGGCCGACCACAGTTCGAGTCACAGATCTGGTGGCTGCTTTCTCACTTTCTCTGCTCTTTCTGGTCAAATTAAAATAAATAAAATTAAATAGTAATTCTTAAAAAATAAACTAGAAACAATCCAAATGTTACTTGGTCATAGCTGATGATTCAGCAATGAAAAGGGACATACTAGTGATACTTGCACCAACATAGACAAAATATTTTACATCAATAAAGCCAGACCAAAAGACCACATATTATATAATTCCATCTATATGATGTCTAGAAAAGCCAAATGTATAAAGACCAAAAACAGATCTTTGGCTTGGGGTGGGATTAGAGATTGGCTGTAAACAAAATGTAGGGAATTTGGTGTGTGTGTGTTGGGGGAGGGGCAGTGATAGAAATGTTCTACAAATAAATTGTGGCATTTGGCAATAGTTTCTTACATAGGATACTAAAAACACAAGGAACAAAAGAATAAAATGGAATTAGAATTCATCATTACTAAAAATTATTGTGCTTTGGGACTGGCAAATGGCATAATGGTTATGTTGCTAGACTCCTACATTGTCGACTGCAGTTCAAGTCTCAGACCTGGTAGCTTAAAACTTATGCCGGGCATATGTGTGTGCATGCCTAGAATCCTGAAAGGAGACTGGAGAAGGGATTGCAGCACGGATATCCCCCCTGGAGGGTGTTTCTCTGTCCCTCTGTGTCTCTCCAGTGTGCACAAGTACCCTATAGCAAAAATCTCTTTAAATAAAGGACAATCAAGAAAATGAAAAAACTCAGAGAAAATATTTGCAATCATACATCTGATTCTCATGTATGAAGAATGCTTACAACTCAATAATAAAGATAATCCAATAGGAAATAGCCCATTTAAAAACAGGCAAAGGATCTGAAGATATTTCATAAAATATTTAGCATTACTAGTCACCAGGGAAACACAAAGCAAAACCACAATGAATTATCACTTCACACCCACCAGGATGGTGGGAATCAAAGACAGATAATAACATGAGCTAACAGGTGGCGTGATGGTTAAGGGTGTTGAACTCCCACATGGCCAACCATGGTTCGAGTCCTGGACCTGGCAGCTTGCTTTCTTACTTTCTCTTCTCTCTCTCTCTCTCTCTCTCTCTCTCCTTCTCTGGTCAAATTAAAAATAAATAAGTCAATAAAGTTAGATAAAATAATTTTAAAAAATAATAAAATGAAGAAAGTCTGGCTCCTCAAATAATTGTGGACCAGCAGGTGGCATGGTGGTTAAGGCGCTGGATACTCCCATATGGCCGACCACAGTTCGAGTCCCAGACCTGGTGGCTTGCTTTCTCACTTTCTCTCTCTCTCTGTCTCTCCCTGGTCAAATTAAAATAAATAAATGAATAAAATTAAATAATTCTTTAAAAAAAGACAGATAATAGCATGATGACATGGATGTGGAGAAAACAGAATCCATATACACCACTGGTAGGAAAGTAAAATGGTGCATCAACTTTGGAAAACAGATGGGCAGTTCCATTTTTATTGTTGTTGTTGTTGGAGAGGTTTTTGCTATAGGGCACGTGTGCTCACCAGAAAGACAGAGACAGAAAGCGAGAAATCACCCCGCAGCGGGGATAGCCACACAGCAATCCATTCTCCTCTTGGGATCTTAGGCACGCATGCACATGTGCCCAGCATGAGTTTAAGCCACCAGGTCTGGGACTCAAACAGCGGTCGACTACATGGGAGTCCAGCGACATAGCCATTATGCCAACTGCTGGTCCCCTGGATGGGCAGTTCCTTAAAAGAGTAAACATAGTTAACAGCAATTCCACAATATAGCACTAGGTAGATACCCAAGAGAAATTAAAACATATGTCCAAATCAAAATATGTACATTTTCATAGCAGCACTGTTTTAAGATTACATTTTATTTATTTAAGAATTTTTTATTTAACTTTATTTATTTTTAATTTGACCAGAGAGAGACAGTG